AGAATCCTGACTGGATTCACGTGGGTAGCAGTATTAGTCGTTGAGCATCCTTAGCCACTAGAATACTCCTGTTTTATGGCTGGCGGGGGGGGGAAGGGTGTGTGGTGGTGGTGAGTATTGGGGGGGAAAAAGGGCCAACACATTTCAAAAGGAGGAGGTTTTAACTGAAGCGGTGACACAGCCTGAATAAAAGACTTGCTTGGAGCACTTGGGAGGGAAAGAACAGTGGGGCTTATTCTAACGCATGTGGGACCCCAGAACATTAATACCCCAGGCTTCTACTTTTCTATGTGGGCAGAATCGAAATCAATGCTCCCCTTTCATTTCACCATGCTGTCACTGTGAACACCTATACAAAAGGAGGCCAGAATTTTATAAGCTGAATGCTCTGTACTTTGTCCTGCACAATGGAAACAGTTAATCAGAATTGCTATGTGAACTTGCTGATTTTTATTGATTCAGAATAGCTTCAGTGTTTTAATAGAGCTAGTTGACTTCATTTCCCCTGACCCTGAATTGCTCTCAAAGAAAAAAAAAAAAAAGTGCGTGTGTTATATAATGTTTGAAGGAAGTACTAACGCTATTTTGACAATGGTCCCCTCCAAAATGCCTTCCCTCTTACCCCCGATTATGAATACCATGCTCTTTTTGGAAAATATACAAAGCCATAAAAGAAATAATCATTATCAACATTTTGATCTGTTTCTCACCAGGCTTTTTGCTATGTACAGAAGTTAAAAATCCTTTTTCTCTTAATATTCTATTATCTTTTGTTATTAAAATAATTGTTACTGTTTTTTACTCAAGTATTACCTTTTCATAGGAGAACATGCTAAAAAGGAAAAAGAAAATTTTAATCACTTATGATTCCCATCCAGAAGCAATGTTAGTAGTTTTCTCTTTTCAATCTCATTTCTAGGCATATGTTCCAGAAAAAAAAGAAATTGTTAAATGCACCATATTCCTTCAGTTGGGTGCAGTATAACTTATTTAAGCCTCTCCTTAAGGGCATTAAGGTATTTTTTCATTCTGTACCATGATAAATATCCTTTACAATGGTATTTTATACTGTGATTTTTTTTCTTTGAAAATTATGGATTTTTCTACAATTAATTCCATCCATTCAACTCTTGAGAAGAAGTTGAAATAAAGGGGCAAGAAAAAAAAATACATAACTTTTGCCTAAGAGCCCATCTTCATTTTAAACACATTTGTTCTCTAGGGGCACCTGGGTGGCTCAGTCAGTTAAGCGGCTGACTTCGGCTCAGGTCATGATCTCATGGTTCATGGGTTCGAGCCCCACATCAGGCTCTGTGCTGACCGCTCAGAGCCTGGAACCTGCTTCGGATTCTGTGTCTCCCTCTCTCTGCCCCTCCCCTGCTGGCGTGCTGTCTCTCTCTCTCTCTCAAAAATGAATAAAACGTTAAAAAAAAAAAATACATTTGTTCTCTGAACAGGAGGGAGCAAGGATAGGGTGGTGAACCCATTCTAAAATGCCTAAATATGTATTTTAAGATATAATTTAAATGTAGTTAATAAAAGAGCAATTGACTCTTCAAATTTTTGGGAAAGGAAATCCAGGGCCAAATCTCCCATGAGTCCAAGCACTGTTGTTAAAAAACTGCCCAGAAGAAATGCACAAAATGGTGCTATATCTGAAGCAATGTCAAAGTAACATATGATAAAATTTTGTTGGGTCAGTAATAAGGATATAGACATCATTCTATGTTGAAAGAAAACAAGGAAAACATTGTTAAAAGCAACCAGTGCCCCTCAGATTACATCTTCAAATCATGCTGGAAATACTCCTGTCCTGGCAGAAGGGCTCATAGAACTCGTGTAGAATCTGGAAGGGCAGGAAGGATGTGGTCCAGACATTTATGCTATGATGGTTTCTAAGAGATCTATCTCCCTGCTGAGAGCTCACGCCTGGAGCCTGGAGCATGCCTTTTCTTTTTCTATGACCCAAGCACAAATGACTAATCAAAAGGTAAACCAAATGTAGAAGAAAATATCAGTTGGCTGCCCCTCTGGGGCTTATCTTAATAGGAAAGTCATCAGGGGGTCCCAGCGGTTTTGTCGTTTCTTTGCAAAATACACTTTGTGTATTATTAAAATTTACAAATCATCTTCACTACCACCATCTGATTTGGTAATAACTTGGATAGCAGAAAGGGCAGGTATTGCCCCATTCTGTAGAAGAAAAAATTGAGGCTCATAAATTAAATGATTTGTGCAAAGTTAATCCAGCTTGCAAGTGATGCAGTAAGATTGCAAACCTGGGGCCTCACTTAGTCTAATGATCATACCAGGAGTCCACACTGTGTTCACCTGGACAGGCTTTGTAGAAGGACATTTTCAATATCCTCTCAAAGGGCTGGATGGAGCTCCTTCTAAGCTGGGGTCGCGACAATCACTGGAGCAAGTGAACTGCCAAGCAGAATGTGATTCGCAGCCATCCATCCATCTCAGACAATGGGCCATGCTGTAACAAAATGGGTCAGTTACTAGGAATGAGGGGAGGAGAAAACATGTATCTGAGTTTATATACTGGTTAATGTTAATATTCTCAACACTTTCATAAACAAGGAAACAGGCTCAAGAGTTAAGTGACTTCCTGGGCAAAGGGAACTCGACAAGTTTCCCTCACGGAATCTGAGCTGATTCCCTCATTTCAGCAATACCAATAAAGCTATGAGGTGACAGAGTGACCCTACCTGGCCTTTAGGGGCTTGCGATTATCTAGGAAGTCTTTGATCTCTAATTTGGGTAGGAAAGGAGGTCCTTTCCTCTTCTTCGTTTCAAAAAAATTTTTTTTTAATGTTTATATTTGAGAGAGCGAGCGCGCGCAAGGGGGAGAGAGGCAGAGAGAGAGAGACACAGAATCTGAAGCAGGCTCCAGGCTCTGAGCTGTCAGTACAGAGCCCAGCGTGGCGCTCAAACCCACGAACCGTGAGATCATGACCTGAGCGGAAGTCAGCCGCTCAACCAACTGAGCTGCCCAGGCGCCCCTACTCCTGTCTTCTTCCATAGGCTTTATGCTGAGGCCATCAGGGCCTCACTAGCAGTAAGTCCCAGTAGGGTTTGGAGAACCCTTCCAGGTTCAGGCCTGAACTATTACCTCATTAGGGCCTTTTCCTTCCCTAGAAGGCTTACTGAGCAGAATGCTCCCTTCTGGGGGACAATCAAAACCTCCCTGGCACAGAACCAGGCCCTTCAGGGCTCTCATCCTTGTGTTTCACACTGTTACTAGTGCAGCCAACATACTAATCTTCCTGACTCGTGTCTGTAGGAATTGGATCCCAGCAAGTGGCAAGCAAGCCCTAGTGCAAATAGCAATGTAATCCAGTTGGTTTCCTAATGTCTAATTGAGAGCAAATGGCAAGTAAAAAAAAAAAATGCATCAGTACAAAGTAACAGAACAAGGCAGAAATCAGGGACTTGGATCAGCCAGGGTCATGACCTCTGCCTTAAACTAGGCCATTACATTGGAAATGTGTCAAAATATGATCATGAATGCTGCTCTCCATCACTGCTGCAAGCACGCCATAGCTAAGGTCTGCTGTCCTAAAACTATGTAGGCTCCCTATTGGCTAATGCAGCATGCTGAACTCAAGCCACGTGAAAGCAGCACTCAAAGAAGTGCCACTACACAAGAGACATCACAAGGCTCAGCTTCGAAACGGTGGTGGTTTGCAAGAAAGCAGTGCAGGGTGGCAGTGGGAAGGTTTTAGACGGACTCCCCCGCCCCCAGGGATAATGGGGTGCAGAGCCTGGCGAGAAGAATCTGGGTGGAGAGCTGCAATGGAGTCACGCTTCCCCCACGGCTAGGGCTCAAAGACTGTGGCATCCTTTTATGTGGCCACCGTAATCACCTGCATTGCCTTCTTAAATGACAGATATTAAGGGTCAAGTGAACTGCTCTAATGGGAGACAGCCTGGCAGAAGTCTTCCCTTCTACTCGAAGCTCAAAGTTGGCTCCAACTGTGGGAGAGTCAGGGCAGCAAGTGAAAAGGGCTTTCGAATGGAAATTACAAAACCAGGGATCCTACTCCCTGGTCTGCCTCTGAGCAGCTACATTTAACTAGGCAAGCGATTCTCCCTGTCTGGGTGCAGATTGCTTATCTATAAAACGATGGGGTTAGCTAGCATTTGTTACCATGGTCCCCTCCAATGTCAGATCTTCAGGGTTTTATGGATTCCATGAAATTGGCTACCCTTTTGCTGGAAATGTAAAGTATGAAGTTGCCTCTCAGGAAAATCTGAAGTTCAAAAAGTAAAGAATGGAAACAAAGAAATGAAAGCAGGACGGTCATTTCAACTCGAAACTCTTGTCCTAAGAACGGCAAAGCAATGAGTTCAGATAGTCGGGGAGGAATAGAAAAGCACAAACTGCAAAACAGGAAATCCATTCTTGGCTTGGCTGGTTGTCAAAAAGCCATGCACTGGTGAAAATTTAGATCCATTTAAAATTTTAATTTCTTAAAACTAATAAAGTCCCCAAATTAGTGAATTATTCAGATGCCTGCTACCAAAACACAGAAATACTGTCCTATACCAGGCTTTTTAATCTGCCTCGATTTCTCCGGTGCTATTTCTGGGGGTGTGATGATACAAGGAGCTGCTGTGATACAAGGAACCTTCAACTTGCTCACCATCATGACGACTTTTTTATGGACCACGGTCAGACATGGCCTTGCATTACAGTTCTATGTATACTGACCTTATCTCTCCAAATTGTGTATCAGCTCTTGACCTTGCAGGGACCTCAATTTCCACACCTTTGATTCCTCCAGTGCCTTGCTTGGCTACAGTAAGCGCTGAAATGATTACTAATGATTCAGGGAAGTACTCACCAGTATCTTCAGGTATGTCAAACCACATGACCAGGTTTACACTTCCAACCTAGTTTGAACTACATCAGTTTTTTTTTTTTAAAGGCATCATATCTAAAGATAGAAAAGCTTCCAAAAATGAACTTAACAAACACTGAAACCAGATTTCCACAGAAAGCAGAAAAATAATTTATTCCAATAGATGGCAGAAATAAGAAAGTCGTCCTGAAAATATACTTTGGTGTAATTCTGTTAGCACAGATATTCCCTCTGAACGTGCTCTCCTACGGACTGCCCCACTTGACTCTACCGGTCTTGCGACAGTTTTTAAACACTTCGCAGATTCCCATGTTGTGACCAGGCAGGAGTGGTCTCCAAATGCACAGGCTCCAAGGAGAGAGCAGCACGTTTCTCAGAAGTACAGCGCCTCCTATCTCAGAAGAGTGCATAGACATTTTACAGAGCCAGCACAGTTTAGGTTAAGTAGGCACATAATTCATCAAAATGTAAAAAAGGTGACAGGAGAAAATACTGCATTGTAGAAGGAGATATTCAAACGTGGTGTGAATGTTTAAGGCAGCTGATGGCCAACACAGGCGAGTCAGAGGTGTTCTGGGTTTGGAGTTGATTTTGCATCTAGAGGAATTCTCTTCGTGACCTGCAAAACAAAGCCGTTCTAGTAACTAATCCTTACCCCATCCTCAAGTGGGCAAATGGCTAATAACATCAATAAAAGTCAATCAGGCCAATAGTTTAAAATATATAGGTGCTCAGTAAATACTTGAATGAAAAGTTGGCTCAAATAATGTCCCAGTTTGGACAGGTTTCATAGAGCTGTGACAAGAGATCCGATTACCAAGGACATTGCTGAACTGAGGGTCGTTAAGTAACAGTTGGACTGTGTCATAGAAAGCAGGAAGTTGACTCAGACCAATCCTACTGGCATCTAATGGGTTCACTTCAAGAATCTGTATTTGCCCTTCCCCTCCTACAGCAAGGAAGCACGGTTCCCACAGCCATGGCAAGCTTTTCTCTTATGTCAGACTCCTAAAGAGCTAGCTCCTTGGTACTCGAGGTTGCTCCTAGTTTGCTCCCCATTCTTCTGGCATAGGTGACAAATGAGATTTCTTTTTCTGGAAGCTTAAGCTGTAACATCACCTTTGCAGAGCTAGCAAACATTTAAAATATGTATCTTCACACATCAAACTGGTAACAGTGGTCATGTCCACTCCCTTAATATAGCTTATTTTATTTATTTTTGAGAGAGAAAGAGTGCGTGTGGCGAAGGGCAGAGGGGGAGAGAGAATCCCAAGCAGGCTCCATGCCAAGCGAGGAGCCCAACTTGGGGCTCAATCCCACAACGGTGAGATCATGACATGAACCGAAATCTAAGAGTTCGATGCTTAACCGATTGAGCCACCCAGGCGCCCCCATAAAGCTTATTTTAAAAGACCATAAAAATAAGGGTGCCTGGTGGCTCAGTCGGTTGAGCGTCTGACTTCGGCTCAGGTCATGATCTCGTGGTTTGTGAGTTCAAGCCCCGTGAGCTCGAGCCCTGCATCGGGGTCTGTGCTGACAGCTCAGAGCCTGGAACCTGCTTCGGATTCTGTGTCTCCTCCTCTCTCTGCCTCTCCCCTGCTCATGCTCTATCAAAAATAAATAAACATTAAAAAAAAAGACTATAAAAATAAAGCCACATATGTGGCTTTCAAAATTAAAAAATAAAGAGAATATAAAAATTAAGTAAATAGTGGCTTTCAAAGGCAATTTCCACACAAGGCCTGAGTTGGCAGATAAGAAAACAAGCTGGTTATGACACAGAATTTCCCAGAATGTTGAGGGTTAAGTGCAGGGGGGCAAAGCGCTAGTTAAACTGGGAAGAGACACGGTTTGTGGCAGGCACGTCTGACAAGACTGAAGGTCAAGTAGTACGTAGGAGATCTGATGGGTCCTTAAGTTTTTCCAGATCAGTGGGCACAAACAGGAGAATCCACAGAGCAGTGCAGTAAAATGATAGGTTTCCCAGGGTCCACAATGCCCAGTAGCAGATACAAGACGGCCACTAAGTCTTACTGGTGCAAGCTGGAGCAGTCCAACCACCCTCTGCATGGGAAGTACCAGACTGCTCGACCCACTAAGGCAGGCCACTGCAAACAGAATACATTCAACTCGAGATATAATCAGAGGACTGTTTTTATAATGTACTAGGAAAATAACCACATCAGGCCAGGGAGGGGCAACTATGAGAGCTACTGGTTTCTTGTGCCTCACTGCCTCATAAAACCTTTAATCTAATGATCATTTCCTCTTCTCCTCCTTGGGCCACCGGAACAACCTGTCTGCACAGACCTGTGTTCCACGCAGATGAGAAATTTTACTTGAGAATACCGAAGCAGTGAATGCAGATGTTTCGTGTGTTAGTTTTTTATGAAGCATACAGGTTAGACCTCCTCATCGTTTAGGCCTTTTTGGACAAATGAACAATAACAAAAGTAAAAAGTAAGTCTTCATCTTTGGAAAACCACACTGAAACAGGGGCTAATTTTCACTTAGGCTCAATGATACTAGTTTGAGATAAATGTGAGTGAGCATTATATTAAATGGCATGGACTTGTGGTTTGATTTGGGGGTGAATTAAAGAAGCACATATTCTAATTGTCTCTCTGACATGAAACCGCCGTTGGGGGTGGGTGGGGAGGACCTCAACCAAAGGGTCCACATTCTCATTCTGTAAAATAAGGGAATGACTAAGGCTACTTTCAGATAAAACTGACAGTGAAGACAACATAAAAATATTAAGGCCTGAACCAGGAAATCTTTTCAGAGGAGGATGAGTGTGTGAGAGTGTGTGTGTGTGTGTGTGTGTCAAAGAATAGGTTTTATTTTTATCTGTTTTTTTCATTTTATTTTTATTTTTTTAATTTTTTTAATCTTTATTTACTTTTGAGAGAGAGAGACAGAGTGCGAGTGGGGGACGAACAGAGAGGGAGACACAGAATCTGAAGCAAGCTCCAGGCTCCGAGCTGTCAGCACAGGGCCCGACGCGGAGCTCAAACTCATGAACCATGAGATCATGACCTGAGCCGAAGTCGGACGCTTAACTGACTGAACCACCCAGGCGCCCCTCTGTTTTTTCATTTTCGATAAATTCACACAAAAATTCCTTTTTTACGATTATGTGCAAGATATGTGTTTATTGCAGAGTAACTACGAGAGATATTTAAGCAAGTGAAAAGTATGTGTATTTAACGAGTCAAGGCAATGTACCAAATGAATAGCTAAATACATTTAGGGAGAAATGAAATCACTTTGAGACCAAGTGGCCAGAAAAGCTGGACATTCAAAGAGAAAACATCACAAAGAATTGAGAGAATGGGTGAACGGAGGGCAGAAAGAATGTCTGCAGAGTATGTGCTTACTAATCTGCGTCCTAAATTAATGAATGTCATAGGGTAGTAAGAGACAGGAAAAGCTAAGTGAAGTTAATTAGACCAAGAACACGGAAATGGCAGGGCTGGAACCAATAGGTCACGGAGGAAAGTAGCGAATAAGTAGGCTGCAAAAGTGGTCTGAGGGCAACTGGCAAGGCCTTGACGGCCAAGTGAGGAAGCTGGACATGATTTGCAGGTTAGTCATTCTTATCTTTTGTGGCTCATAGGACCTTTGGTGACCCTGACAAAAGCTGTGCTTACAACATGTTACATAGGCAGGTACTCACTAACCTCAGAGATTTAAAGTTTAAAAAAAAAACCCTACAGTAGCCTACGGAGAACCAGTGAAAGCTTCTGAGGCAAGCAGTGATCTCTTTCAGGGAGAGCTGCATCAGGAAGACAAACAGGGTGGAGTTTTGTAGATACTGTGACTATAGAGCAGGGAGTCCTGAGGAAGAGCCACTGTAATAACTTGGAGTCACGTTGATCTGGGTCAGAAATTAGGGTGCCCAAAGGAGAAACTGGAAACAAGAACAGACACAAGAGCCATTAACAGGATCAAATGGATTAGAGGAAAAAGAGAAAGAAGTGATTAGAGAAAGAAGTGACTGAACAGGTTCTGACTCTAAGTGACAGGGAGATCTATGACATCAGGAATTGAAACAGAGACATGACAGTTTGAGTGGCAGCAGCAAATCCGGTCAGAGAGAGCCGAGTAAAAGATAACATTTAAAAAAAAAATTTTTTAATGTTTATTTATTTTTGAGACAGATAGACAAACAGCATGAGCAGGGGAGGGGCAAAGTGAGAGGGAGACACAGAATCCGAAGCAGGCTCCAGGCTCTGAACTGTCAGCACAGAGCCTGACATGAGGTTCAAACTCACGAGCGGTGAGACCATGACCTGAGACAAAGTTGGACACTTAACCAACTTAGCCGCCCAGACGCCCCTAAAAGATACACTTTTTAACCACAAAACACCTTGCACTGTTTAACTTTTCACAAACATGGCTTACTTTCAACCTCTCAACAAGTCACAAACTTCTTTAGAGCCCACAGCCTTCCCTGAAATCCCCACTCAGTACCCAGGCACCTCATGAGCACTCAAATATTTTTGGAATGCATAGAAAAACAGCTCCCCCTGGGGCATAGGCCTAATTACCAATATACTTTATTCCTCTCCTGTCCAGACTCTGTAAAAAAAAAAAAAATACAAGGTTTGCCCTTTAGGACTGCAGTAAGCCATATAAATTCATCTAAAATGTTACAATGCTGTGGTAAACTAACTTGTAGGACACTGGGGCCGGGCCAAATCCACTCCAACAAGATTCCACACTAGCATCGCACCCCCAGGGCAATAGGAAAATGGGCCATGACAAAAACAGCAATCTTGATGTGACAGTTCCAGAAGCATCTTAGGAATCTAGGAAAGGCAGACAAGGCTGGCAGGGGAAAGAGAGGGAGTGAGCACTGTTCTTAGAAGTACTGGGCAAGATTTCCAGCCAATAAACATAATGTGCTATAACTCAGCCTATCATCACCACATGAGACAAAATCGTGGCAATTAAAATGACTAAAGTAGCAAAAGATCAGCTAGGTGTTTAACTGTGCTGTTGAAATCAAATCAATTCCATCTATATAAAATTATCCTAAAGCTTTCATGACTGTTCCTCATTTTTCTCTGCTGCATACCATGTCTGGTTTACACCTCCTACTTTCCAAATCTGGCCTCTAATCATGTACAAAATCAAACATTTTTCCTTACCAGATGAAGACAGGCCTAAATCTGGTTCTGCACTCCTTTATCATCCCACTGTTGTGTAAAAGTACAAAGTTCAAAAGGGAATTTAGCTCAGTCTTTTGATTTACCACAAAGAAAAATGAAGTCTTGTCACAAGAGTTCTATTTGCTCTGTTAGGCAGAGATTAGATCTCTTCATGTGGTAATTCCAAAGGCCTACAGTTATTGTACTACCATAGTCATGACCTCAAATGCAGAATAAATGCGAAGACATTCCCAATTAGAGTTTGTCTGGCTCTGCCCTCCTGCTTCCTGGTGTTTGCTTGTAAAGGAACCACCTTTAATACAAGTTTTAAGCAGCCCTGGTTTGTGCTCTGGACCAGAGTGCAGACAGAAGGTATCTGTCAGTCAGGTTAACTTGAGATTGAAAATGAACAAATGAGGGACGCCTGAGTGGCTCACTCAGTTGAGCATCTGACTCTTGGTTTTGGCTCAGGTCATGATCTCACAGTTCGTGGGTCTCAGCCCCACATGGGGCTCTGCAGCTGGCAGCATTGAGCCTGCTTGGGATTCTCTCTCTTTCTCTCCCTCTCCCTCTCTCTCTCTCTCTCTCTCTCT